GTGAACCTTGCCAATAAATTTCGTTGCACTTTCCCTTTTTAATTAAATCTGCTTTTGCCAATACATTTGGTAGAGATTCTTTAAGAGACCTTGAAACGCTYATTTACCACACTCTGTCCTTCAGAGAAACTGTGAGATCAGTCTAAGARGTGTTAGAGAAGGAATTTACAAGCRTCACAATACACAAAGTACAAAATCAGTTTTCTTCTCCCAATACACGTGGATATGTCTCTGGATATGTGTCATGGGGTCCTTTCTGGCATTGTTGTCTTCTTTTTGACAGCAGAAAGAGTGTTTCTTGTCCCAGAGCAAGGAAGGACAGCAAAGAAGAATTTGATTTAATAAAAAAATAGGTCTGGGTGCTGGACGTGTGGGGCAGAGGGAACGTGTGATGGTCTCATTCATGTCTGCAAAGGAGAAAAAAAGATCAGATTCACACCAAAAAAGTGCATTTCATATGGAATTGTACCAAATACAAAGGTTTCTGTGTAACCAGAAGTTTCTGCTTTGCCATTATCTATGCAAAAGAGTAAATCCCTTAATGAGTCAATGTATATATAGACCCTCTGCAAGCTGGAATTCATAAATCCTTTCTGAATTTGCCTTTCTTTGGGCTTGATTACCTCTAGCCATCCATGAGGTGTCTCCAAAGCTGCCATGGAAGGATCTGATCTCCACGGACATTTGGTGTGGTGGACATTTGGCACAGAAGGGTGACTGGGAAGCAGCTCTAGRACCAGAATGCTCTTTACCAATAACCAGCATGGTTCACAAACATGTTCTGACYGGGTCAAAAGATCTCTTTTCACTGGAAAGGGTATGCAAATATTTGAACTAAATATGTATGCAATGCCCTGGCATGTACCTCAGTGTGCTGAAAATGGGAATCAGAAATGTTTGCTCAGACCATAATCTTTTACCTTGGAGTGTCTCACAGAGAGCAAATCCCTTCTTCCTCACCTTCACAGGCATGGGAAACACTTTGGAGGACCTACCCAAGGTATTGTGCCTTAATCTCATGGATGACATTTGCTGTCAGAGCAAGGATTTTAAAGCCACATCTTCCTAGACATATTTATTATTCCAACACACACCTGTGCAAGGCTTCCTCTCTCCTATAAATAAATCAAGTTCTGAGTAAATAAAGGACTAAGTGAAAGCAGCATGAGAACACAAGGAAAGGCAGTATACACAGATTCCATCTCCCCACTTTTGTGCCTGTCACAGGGACAAGATGAGAAGAAAAGCTCCTGGAACTCTCTCCCTACATCCTCCTACCCTTTGCCCCAGGACAAGAATACCATTTTTTTTTGGATCATAGTCTAGCACATCAACTTCCCCACCATGCTGGACTACATGCCACATAAATCAGACTTCAAAAGAGAGGTCTTGGCCCTGAAAGCAATCCCAGCTGAGCTCTTCATGTGTTTGAGGTCGCCAGAGTCTGTGCTCTACTGGAGCTTTAACACTTCAAGAGCTCCCATGCCAGCCTTGCCTAAATCCTGCAGGTTATGCTTGTTTCCAACATCAAGAGATGGCCTCTTCCCTCCATCTCCGTGGGGTCTGTCCATCTCACTGGTGGCACCTCCTAGATGATGATAACATTCTTCCATCTTGTTCTGCTCCTGTCTGTCCTTGCACACATCGTGTCTAGCCTGAGCATTGTCCCTTTGACATGTCAGGACCAGGACCATTCCTGGTGAACCCATCCTGTTCCATCTGTGTATCTTCAGCTAYTACTTGTCCCATTGTTTTGGAGCTTTCTGTCTGTACACCTGCAACACAAAGGTACCCTCCTGACTGCTGAGTTTCTCTGTTTTGTTACTATTAAATCTGTTAGTTACTTTTATGCAAAGATATTRTTAATAATAAGTGGAGACTCCACAGCGTACTGCATTGTATGGAGCCTTCAAGCCCCATGTATTGTAGGATACAGCTTTGCAGAGCTCTCCACACCCAAGCCTCTTGGGTGATGATCCCTTCTGCTTGGTAGTGCACCACTAAAAAAGCATTTCCTCCATTGTCCATTGTCAGATGAAACGATGGGAAAATAGGCCATTGCCTGCACCCATCCATTTAAAACAGAGCCCAGCTAACCCAGAGGAAGCTGCTTGAAGTTTCAGAAAGGGATGGGTGGGTTGGGCTTTGTGGGAAGGGACTCAGAAATCCCTGGAGGAATTACCGCATGTATTCTGCTAGGGAAATCCAACAATCGCGTGAGCACAAAGGCTACCAGTAACAGGCGTCTTCCACTTCCTTGACTGCATTTCACAGGAGCTCAAAGAGTTCTCCATTGCTCTCCAGAAGTCCCTGCTTTGGCCTGGGTCTCTGCACTGGGATTTCCTATCAGATACGAAGGCCCTTGGTTGCCTATTGTCAATAACTGCTTTTAGCAGATGAAGTTTTATATAACCTCAGACAAAACATGCTGTTAAAACCACAGTCCACTGAAGCACTCAGAGCCTTAATTTAATAATAAAAGAGTTCCAGTAAGGCTAAAGGCTGAAAGAGYAGATTCTTTATTAGAGATGCCAGGTAGCTGTCTAAGCCAAATAATGTATCTCTGTCTAAGCCAAATAATATATCTCTATCTAAGCCAAATAATGAAGAAAAATGAAGGAAAGCAGCCAGCTGTGATACAGATATGCCAAGTATTAGTGAATCACACAGAGGTTTACATGTATGATTGATTGCTGGGATTATTAAAAATACGGACCTTTGCTTTAAAATTAAATTTCTCAGCTTCAGTTACACACATTTGCTTTTTCTGTGAGTTTTTTTTTTTCCTAGAAGATTAAATATCCATTTAGCTTTTCGGGCAGATGATTACATTATACATTATTGTAGTCATCATCCTATGAAATCATCCTGCTATGATGAAATTCATACCAGTGTAGTAACTAGCCTAAAAACGTCCGTATTATAAACCCAAGTCACTTCAAACTAAAAGAAACTCATAAAGCTGAACAATGGCAGAGTACAACTGAAGTATTCTGAATACCCAAATTGGTTGTTCTGTCACTGCAATGAATTCCTGGTGCTTCAGGAAAAAAAGTCATCTTCAGAGACGTTCATGAACATAAATAGTTTCAGTTGACCACTGGCTGCAGGGAGACAGTCCAGGGCATGTCACTCYTTTTGGTGTGGGACCGTGCAGCCTTCAGCACTGGAGTTGGTTCTAAATATATTCCTCAAGTCAGATGTATAATGAGACATTTCATTACTTCCTTCCTTCTAGGCACATTACAGCAAAGTGAGTCAGGATTTGCTCTCCCYGGTATGAGCAAAGGTTAATTCTTTGCTGTCTGCCAGAATCACCAGAACAACTGAAAAATCCCTTTGTTGTGCACGTGCACATTAGAGCGTTGCAAGTCATGATATTCCTTGATGACAGGACAAGCTTTTGATAAAGCAAAATACCTGCTGTRTCTTTCTTCTAGTGACCAATGGCATTCATGACTTTTATTGGATATAGGTAATGAGATGTCCCAGATACATAGATTGTGTTAAATATAAGGAAATAGGGATCATACTAATTAATCACAAACAGATAAAGATGGGGTATATTGCCCAGGCTCCCTCTCTGTCTCTGTTGCTAGAGAAAGTTTATGATGTCACTGAGCACGTGGATGAGGTTTATTCAGCAGTGAAATATCCAGATGTCTCTTCTTGCTTTTTCACTATGAACTGGATCACGTAGAGTAACTTTAAAGTGATCCTCAGTGGAGATATCACGTTGCTAAAATAAATTCTTGCTGTGTGCAGAAAGAAGGATGCTATTATCAGTATAATCTGAAATCATGGCTCTTAATTTTTAATTCTTAATTTAATTTAATTCTTGATTGTGATAAAAATAAAAAAAAAACCTCTTAATTTTCCATCTCAAGAAATCCTCAGAAATATGGTCCAAACACACCCCAGTCAGACTCTAAAAAACTGAGGGACAAGCTGTTCTCAGCTACTYGTACAGTCAAGAGGTAGAAGCTGATTCCTCTCATCAGGGGTAGCACCTGGACCAGGGATGCCATGGGCCATCTGATGGGTTGATGTTGGGCCGTGGTGCTGCAGTTCCCTTGCAAAAACATCAGAGATGGTCAAAGCCAGRAGAGACAACAGCAAGGAACAGACTGTCCATGGAAGTGCTGGAGGGATTTAAAAGATGTGTAAATGTGGTGCTYAGGGACATGGTTTAGCAGTGGGTTTGGCAGTGCAACATTAATGGTTGGGACTCTGTGATCTTACAGCAAAAACAATTCAGTGATTCTGTATTTCTGTGGAGGCCAATACAGTATCCTTCATTTACCAATAAACCCAGGACTGAATTTTGGGACACCAACCCCACCTTCCAAGGGTGCAGTCATTTGGCTAGTGCTTGAAAAATCCACTCTGGCAGCCCCAGTCAGAGATAAAAGGACCTGCACAGCACAGTTTATAGGCTATTCCAGGAATAGTTCTGGAGGCATGAGTCTGCTCAGATTTCTTCTGCACCTTGACAAGGAATCCTTGCTGCACAGCTGCATTGCTRGGTTGTTGCTGAACACAAACTCCACATGGAATGGCTTTCCAATATTAGTTTGCTGAGTATCTCAGCACCTGTTGGCATGAAAGGCACCGTAGCTGAAAGTCTGAGGAGCACCTTTAGGCTCCAGACGATTCAGTGTAGTGACAACTGAGACTCTCAGAACAGTATACTCCAGGTTAAAAAAAAAAAAAAAAAAAAAAAAAAAAAAAAAAAAAAAAAAAAAAAAAAAAAAAAAAAAAAAAAAAAAACAACAAAACCAAACACAAAAAGTAATTTATTTTACTTCCAAACCCCTGATGACTAAAAATGTGTTCTGCTCACCTTGAAATCACGCTCCCCAGCAGCTCTGTTAGCACCCCCGCCCAAGCGTCCCTTACATCCACTTTCCCCCCAACAGCAGGAAATCGCTTAGAAAATGTTTCCAGGTTCCTTCCTGGCCAGAGGTCACCTCCGTGTTTCGGAGCAGCAGGAATCACCATGTTCTCTGACACAACAAACGGAGGAGGAAGATCTGTCCTGCCCTTCCAGCTTTCAAGCYTGTGCTTTTTAGCTGCAACTCCACCCTGCGCTGGTGGAGAAGGGATCAGTTCCCACTGATCGCAGGAAAGGGAGGTCACGGGGTTTGCTTGATTAAATCACCACAAGCCAAAAGGTGCTTTTGCTCACTGAGAATTGCTCACGGGCTCATTCTTTAATTTGTTCCGAAAAAAAAAAAAAAAAAAAAAAAAAAAAAAAAAAAAAAAAAAAAAAAAAAAAAAGCGCCCAACAAGCAACAGCACACGCGGAAAAGCAGGTGTGTCGAGATCCTGGGAAAACAAAGGGCAGAGGCTGAGGCAGGAGGTGACACTTGGATGAGAAGTTTCCATCCCAGCACAAGAGGACAAGTTTGGAAAAGACTGGACAGGACCAGCACTTGTTGTCCTACAGGTATGGATGCTRTGAAATGTGGCATTGCTTTAACACTTTGCGGAATTAAGGAATTTTTGGGGCCAGATTCTGGCAGTGTGSTGCAAGCTTTGCCTCACAAGTAAACCCGCTGCGGGTTTCTGCCCAGGGGAACTGCGATCGGCGCGTGTTTCATTCTGGGGTGATTAGCTGGCAGTTTTCTGTAGGATGCTTTTGGCTGTTCAGGGTATGAATTAAGTCGTTCAAGCTTCTGACAAAGTACTGCTGTCTGTTCATTTGGCTAGTGAATGCGAATAGAGGCTATGATTGCTTTAGTTTAAGCTCGAGKCTGCAGAGGTGAAGCGGGACATGCACGGAAATGTCGTGCTAATCCTGATTGCATTTATTACCTCCTAAATCGTGCTGCAGAGTTTCAGAGAGAAAAAGTCAATTGCAGTAGCATTTAGAATTTTTTTCCGCATCGTTTTCTGCTTACAGTGGCTGGAATTTGTAATGCAGATGCAGGCTCTGTATTTTTATTAGCAGTATAGGACGGTGGGTTTGTTTCTTTTAAGAGCAATCTCCCTTCAGTTTCATGTTAGGTGAAACTTGCTGACAGGGGAGAGGGACACCCACGGCCACAGCCTGAGAAACTGCTGTGTACTGCATCACATTTATCTTGTTTCCATTCTTTTCTATCTGTGTTTTCAGCTCTTTAAGTGAAAGCCACTTTTGTGGTAGTGTGTTGAAGTGCTGGAATGCTGCTGCCAGTGCTCAGTGTCGAGGGGGGTACAGGGAGGATTTCTGATGCTTTCACCTCTTGATGTCTATTTCCCCAAAAATTCYGCCCCATTTCCAAACATCCCTGGTGTAGCAGTATCCACTTTGTTTAAATGATCATAATACAGAAAAAAAAAAGTTGTGACCTTGTACAACCTTTTTCTCTCTCCCATTATGGGAAAGCGATGGTGAACTACGTGCACAAGGAGCTTTTGGATTTGGGCGAGAAAAGGTGTCATTATTTGAATGCTGTAACTCACACTGTCAGTGACAGTTTTAGGAGGCAATGAACTTGTGACAGGCAAGGGAATAGCAAGACAAAGGTTGCTGTGAATTTGAAAGCCTAAGGCTCATTTCTTCTGCTTCCATCACTTACTGTTGCACGATGAAAATGGTATTTTGCAACCCATAAATTTTGCACTCACCCAGAAAATTTCTCAYCTATTTCTGTCACTTAACCTGTCCAGTGATGCCTGGCAACATTGCAGAATGAAGTGATATTCAGGGAAATTTGGGGCAAATCTTTAGCACCTGTGTAGCAGTGACACTGGACTGAACTCAGTGATGGGTCAGCCCGTTCAGCAGGGACCTGGTGTGACTATTTGGCATCTGTCACTATTTAACTTCCCTAGATTCGTCTGAGTTTGCCTCCGGTGATCCAGGTTTAAAAAACAAACAAAGAGAACATGCGTAGGCACTGGGAAGATATCTTTGTCCTGATCTTCTTGGTTATTTTTATTTTTTTAACACCTCTTAGGCAGGCTTAATAAAGCAGCTCTCCAACATCTGAATTGCAGACGTGGGAAATTCCTCAAACTAGGCAGAGCTTCCTCTCATTGTTATAACACAAAAGACCAGTGCAGCCTTTACTAGAGTTCCTTTTTTTAACCCATTCATCTTGACTAAGAAATCTACCTGCTGCTGCCATCGCTCARGGCTGTGATTCACAATTTGCTAGAAGACAGCAGACAAGCATGGATGTGAATTGCGTCATCCATGTGGACATAATTATTTTGGGGTTGTATTGCACTTGAAACTGAAATGGTTTGCTGCTGGAATTAATCTCAGCCAKGTGCAAGASTTACGGCTTTTTAAGATCAAATGGRATGAATCTACAATAAAACCAAACTCCTTGCAGAAAACCATTTCCAGTTTTTCATTAAACAGATCAGGATCGTGATCTCCAAGAGGGTTCAATTGCCATTCATGAGCAGATCCACCATAATTGCATGATTATACAGAGTTTACTTCTCAAATGATCCTGCCTGGGGGCAGTTACCGCCCATGGATTAATCTGATCCAGCACCTGCCGTGCTGGCAACGAGCAGCAGCTCATCCCCCTTATCTGTGCTGGGCAGCATCCTGAGAGCWCTGAGCCAGCACTGGGTGAGGGCAGGAACTGTGGGGCTGTGATAGTGGCCCTTGGCAGGCTATATTAGGAATGTGGATGAGATGGTGGAATGCACAAGGTAGGTGTGCAGGAACAGGAAAAATGGGAAAGAGAAAACAAAAGAAGATTTGCAATGGCTTGTTTCTCTCTGATGGGCAAGTGATCAATTCTACATTTGTTTGGTTGGGGTTTTTTCAGAAAATATCAGCTCCCTTAGAGCAGATAATTCACTGTAGCAGGTTGTCTAGTAATTACAATGCTGTATTTGCATATTACAAGGCTGCACCACTGGACTTTGTTAAGAAGGTTTTGACTACATTTGCAGGCTATTCCAAAGGTTTATCTGCTGCTGATGGTGGCCTAGAAGAGGTTTCACTCTGACACCCATCCTATGACATGACATGAATGGATTTTGTAGCCTTAATCCACCATCTCTGTGCACAGTTTTTATCTTTTCTACAAACTTCAGTTTATTCCTCGGGAAGCCTGCAATGAATTCTGCCCCAAAGCCCTTCCCCTCCATCATGATTCTCATCTGATCAATCCAAACAAGATKGGTGTGCTGGGTCTGGCTGGGATTGAATTAACTTTCTTCATACAGTGCCGTGGTTTAAATTTGTGGCTGAAAGAGTGTTGATACCATATCAATGTTTTGGCTGTTGCTGAGCAGTGMTTGCAGAGCATCRAGGYTTTCCCTTTTTCCCACTGACCAGAGTGGGACCTAGTGAGTAGGATGAGAACTGGGAGGGATTTCAGCTGGGAAAGATGATTTGAATTCACAAAAAGGATGTTTCAAACCATATAACATCATGTTCAGCAATGAAAAAAAAAAATGAATGATTGGAGTAAGGGCTGTCTTCCAAAGTGGCCCTTGCTTGGACATTTTCAAGGTATACATCTGCTTGTGGGAGGTAGTGAAGGATTGCCTTTGCATCACTTCTTTTTTCTTTCCCCTTTCTTACCCTTATTTATCTCTATCCACTCATTTTTGTCCTTTTTCTCATCCTGTTCTCTCCTCCATCCCTCTAACAGTGGGCAGTGAGTGGCTGTGTGGGTGCTCAGCTTCAGACCAGGATGAGCCCATGAAAACAGGATATCCAGCCCACCCTTCAGACACCTTCTGATTGACCACTTTTGAATAAACAGAAGTTTTTTTCCCAGATCAGGAAAAAAAAAACCCTTTAAATTCCCTTGTGTCATCTTCATAGGCTGATTTTACAAAGCAATACTTGTTGCAGGAAGACCTCAAAGGTCACCTAATATCGACCCCTCCTAGCACTGAATTCCTTCATTCAGGATGAAAAGGGAACCACATCTCTTTTGCCTTTTAGGTATTTCCACAAGTCTTGCTTTATCAGATCATTAGTGCAATCACTGATGGGTTTTTCCTGCCCCAGGGTCTCTCTAAGCACCCTGTGAAGCAGAGACAGACAAATATCATCCTTATTTGGCAGTAGAGAGCTGAGGCACAGAGAAAGTCAGGATCTGCTTACAATATTGGCTGCTGCCAACCCAGTGTGTGCTTAAACCCACCTCAGCAGGAGGGAGAACACTGTGGCAGCCAGGTCTGAGCATGCCTGTGAGTAGCAGAGCTGTATGTGCTCCCCATTTAATTATTAATAMGAAATATTAATTTCCAAATGCCTTCCCTCAAAACATAATAGAGCGGTGATCGAGTATGTAATTTACTGTCCTCGGAAATTCCTCAAAACGACAGAGCTTCCCCCAATTGTTCACACACAGAGGAAAAGCTCTAATAGAGTTCCTGCTTCGGCTCAGTCCTGTGAGCACAGGCTTGGCCCTCCACAATCATCAGGCTGAGTGTGTAAAAGCCATCTTCATTCCAAAGATRTCCCTACGTGCCTTATGACAGGTGATTCACAGTATGCCCCATGCTCCTGAAGCTGTTTYACTGTGCCTTCTTGAGAGAGAAATTCTTTAAATTCCCACAGTGTCCCTCAAATTTGGGCTGGCTGATCCTAGGTCTGAGATCCTGGATGAGGTTGTGCATGCCTCAAGTGTCTCTGGCAGTAACACAGGACTGATGGCACTTCCTTCCTTCCTCCCTTCCTCTTGTTATCCATCCTGTTCCAAGTCTGTGGCTTAAAAAGTTCAACTGCTGTTCATAACCACCGTCCCTTATTGCAATTAGGACACACCATGTGTTAAACTCATAGTCACAGAATGCTTTGGGCTGGAAGGGACCTTAAGTCTCATTTAATTCCAACCTCTCATTTCATTCCAACCCTCTGCCATGGGCAGGAGCACCTTCCACTATTCCAGGCTGCTCCAAGCCCCATCCAGCCTGGCCTTGGACACTTCCCGTGATGGARTAGCCACAGCTTCTCTGGGCAACCTGTGCCAGGGCCTCACCACCCTCACAGTAAATAATTTCTTCCTAATAATTAATCTAAACTGCTCTCTTGCCAGTTTAAAGCCATTCCRCCATGTCCTCTCACTCCAGTCCTTTTGTAGGCCTTTAGGCRCRGGAAGGAGCTCTGAGGCCTCCSTGGAGCCTTCTMCAGGCTGAGCAGCCCCMGMTCTCTCAGCYTGTCCYCACAGGGGAGATGTTCTGTATTATTATTGAAAATCTGCCTTAAAAGCTGCCTGCTTTTCCTAAATGCCTTGTTTCTGGACAGCTCTGCAGTGGTTATTCTAGCACTGTTCCAAACTTGGCAAATGCTTTATCCATCTGACAGCAGTTAAGGAAAGCTTCCCTTGTCCCTGATATAAGTACAGGTGCTTTGAGGATGTTGAAGCAGATGAGGTTCCTAAAGAAGTAAGGCCTGGATTGCCTGTAGAGCGAGCAGAGAGAAGCAAAGGCCTCAGAAAATTTATAGGAGATGCCACCCAAGTTCAGCACCAGCCTCAC